GCAATGCTCCCCTCTCCTGGACACATGATGAGGCTCCTACCCAGGATGGATGTAGGCTAGAATCTCCCTGGTAAACCACCTCGTGGGCTACAGCAGATTATTAGAAATGGGCTAGTCCAGGTGCGAGAGTTAGCCTAGAAGAGGCTAGATAGAAATGGGCCAAGCAGTGTTTAAATGAATACAGTTTGTGTGTTGTTATTTCGGGCATAAGCTAGCAGGCGGCCGGGGTGCTGGGGATGCAGCCCCGCCACTCATATTACAACAAGCTGGAAACTGGATTCCAGTTTTCTGCAAGAATAGCAAACAGGCCCTGGGTAGTGGCCCATGTCTTTCATCCCAGCATTAGGGAGGTAGACTTGGGTGTATTTCTGTGAATTCGAAGCCAGCTTGCTGGTCTGTATAGTGAGGTTGGGGCCAGCCTGTGCTACATAGTGAACTCCTGTCTAAAATAAATAAATAAATAAATAAATAAAACCAAACAACAACAACAACAAAAAACAATTGCTCTTACCCACTGAACCATCTCTCCATTCCCTTTGCCTTTATGTTTTGAACCAGTGTCTCTCACTCAATCAGAAACGTACTGTTAGGTTAGGCTGATGGACCAGTGATCCTCAGAGATCTGCCTGTCTTCACCAGGCTGGGGTTACAGGCAAACAACTATATGTGAATTTTTGTGTATGTTCTGAGAATTTGAACTCATATTTTGGTTCTTGCATGGAAGTCACTTTGTTAACTGATCCATCTCTCAAGCTCCTCCCTTTTTGGGTAGAGTCTCATGTATCCATGTTGGCTTCAGACTTACTATATAGCAGGGGTGACCTTGAACTCCTGATCCTTTACCTCCCAAGGGATTACAGGTTTGTCCCACCATGCCAGGTTATATCTTGTACCAGGGATCAAATTCAGGGCCTTGGGCATAATAGACAAGGCCTCTATCAGTTGAATCATATCCCCAGTCCCAACTAGATGAATTAAATCTCCCTCCATATTCACTTAATAGATGATGTTTTTGTGGTCATAGAAGATGGTATGTGGGGTGGGAGAGATGATTCAGCAGTTAAGAGCATTTGTCACTCTTCCAGAGTACTCAGGTTCAGTACTTTCAGCACCCATATGGTGGCTCAAAACTACCGGTGGTTCTAATCCCAGGGGATTGGATGCTAGCTTCCAATTTCCTGATTTCCTAGATCATCAGGCATGCTTGTGGTGGACATATATACATATGATGTAAAACACTCACACACATACAATGAAAAAAATCTAAAAAAAAAATTAAAAATTGCTATTATAAAGCTGCTGACAGTCACTGAAACTCAAGTTTTAATACCTGTAAAATATGGATAGCAGTATGACTCTATGTGACATTGCCTAGTGAACTGAAAAAACTGGCAGAAATGTATGAGAATTAAGTGGAATTTCAACCCTAGTTCGTCTGTATATATCTCAGGTTTCCACGTGTGGCTTTAATATCCAAGATAGTTTCCATTTCTTTCATAACTTTGTGTACAGCTTTACCATCCCAGAGATTCCAGAGGTAAGTTGCATGTGCACTTTTATTCAAGCCCCCTTCCTCTACAGAGATATTGCTCTCATGAAAGAGGTGTACCTAGTCCACATGATATTCAGACATTGGACCTTGAGTTGAGTCCGCGGGCTCCATAGCTGTCATTCACATGATATGGTAGGAGACACAACCCTGTCTCAACAGCCTTGTCTACCACTCACGTTGGCACCACAGAGGAATTTGCGGAGAAAGGCGAGGCCACACTTGGTCTGGCCAGAGCCTTTGTGGGGGTTCTGCCACAGCACTCCTTTCTCTCTCGGTACCACCTGCTGCTCCTCCAGAACTCTGCCACAGTGCTTGGCTTCTAGCTTTCCTGTGAAGTATTGTGGAAGCCTCTGTGCCCCCCACAATGCTCACACTCTGCATTTCTATGAATTCAGATGCTGACAAGTTCTGCTACAGATACAGCAGTTAAAGGGCCAGTTGGACCATAGCTATGACATCCTGTGAACAGCCTGATGGTTGAATGTGGACAAATACTTGTTTGGATGGTTGTGTAGCAATTTTCTAAGTCATTCCTGGAAGGAAATGCCTGAAAACTCAGGATTCCTAAAATGAATTTGGAAAACACTCAGGGACTTCTAAAGGGAGGCCCATTAAGACTCAGGAAGTAAACGACTCAAAAGACTCAGTCCCTGAAACTGATCAGATGTACAATCCCACCTCTCAAACGTTATAAGATTGCTGAGGAGACGAGACTCTATGGCCTATTAAGTTGCCTGAAAAATGTACAGAGGGTTGCAGGGTTCAAGCAATTTTTTTTTCTTTTTTTTTTCTGAGTCAACATCCATGCTGGAATGGATGGACAGTTTTCAGGCGATTTCTTTGAGTTATCCCTGATCCTATAAGGAACTTCTCACCCCCACTTCTATGAGTAATCCCCAAACCAGTTAGTTTGCCAAATTGTACTTAGTGTAATTGGTTGTTTTTTTTCCATCTGTCTTCAATTCCTTATCTGGGGTTCATAGTTGTTTGTATTAATCTTCACAGGAAGAGATTGTCAAATAGCAAGGTGGCTCTGTGTGAGCCCTTTGCCCTAGAGCTCCCAAAGCAATCTCTGATGAGCGAGGTGCAGCCAGTATCTGAAATGTTCTCAAGTAGTTTTCCTACTTTCCTTTTTTATTAGTGTCATAACTGTACAAAAATATAAGGGAGTTCAGTACAAAATTTTACTTAAGATCCTCTGATCGTATTTCCTCTAAGTACTCACATTTGTTGCCCTCCCATGGTCCCCTCTCTATTCCTTTATAACTATTATTTGTCTAGGCCTTTTGTTTGTTAGGGTCCATAGGAGGGACCTGGAGAAATAGGGAAGTGGTTTAGAGCCCTTTTTGCTCTTACAGAGGACAGAGGACTGGAGTTTGGTGCCCAGCATCCATGTGAGGTGGCTCACAACTGTCTGTAACTCCAGTTCTAGGGGCATCCAGTGAGCTCTTCTGGCCTCTGCAGGTACTCTCGCCCATGGGTGTGCATGTGTACCCACCCCTAACATGACTGAAAATAAAGTAAAACCTAAAAAGATTCCTTATGCAATGTTTGTCTTTCTGAATCTGACTTATTTTGCTTTATGTTGAGATCTCTGGTTCCATCTACTTTCCTGACAATAATAGGATACAGGAGATGTAGGCCCATATTTCTGTATGGCACAAGAGCCATTAGCCCGGTCTGAGCTGATCACATAACTCTGCAGACAAGCTGTCTCTGCCTAACAATAGCCAGGATGTACTGCTCCTAGTTTCTTTTGTTGTATTATAACAAAAGAGAAGAGATGTTGGCTAAAGCTGATGACTTAAGAGTTAAGAGGTTTGGTGCTTCCTCCCTTTGTAATTTGGAGGATGTCTTATAGAGATGCTAATTCATGGCCTACCTGACTGCTAGCATACAGGTAGATGCACACCTGACTAAAAGCCCATTCACCTGGTTACCTAGGATACAGCCTAAGGTGTTCCCGCTGAATTGATGTGATGATATATAAGGTGTTTGGAGAATAAATGAAAAATCTTTGGAGAGAGATCTGGCCCTTCCATGATGACCGTGTAAGCTGCATCGGTTTATTCCTCGCGACTCCGTTCCAGTCCAGTTAGGGAATCTGTGTTGGACCCACACAGGCCCCGACAGGAGAGGATGTAGAAATAAACTTATACAGCTACATCTGATGTAGGAGAAGAGCAGGGAAAGAGGTTCCAGAGGCATCAAGTTGGCATATAGGAAAACCAATAGTAGAGGAAGGGTAGAAATGCCTCTCTCTTAGTAACTGTTCTACTACTGTGAAGAGACACCATGGCCAAGGAAACTTAGTTTCAGAGAGTGAGTCCATGATCATCATGGTGGGGAGCATGGCAGCCATGGCACTGGAGCAGAGTTGAGAGTTTACATTCAATCCTCATGGCAATGAGAGGATGGCTAACTGGGAATGGTGTCGGCTTTAGGAACCTCAAAGCCCACCCCAGTGACAAACCTCCTCCAACAATTCCACATCTTCTATTTCTTCCCAAACAGTTCCACCAGCTGTGGAAGATTTCAAATATATGGGTCTACAGGAGCCACTTTCATTAAAACCATAAAATTCTCTCACAATGGACTATGGGCTGCATGCAACAAAACAGAACTCCCTTCTCCCCCTCTTTCTGTGTCTGTCTGTCTGCCTCTCTCTCTCACACACACACATAGAGAGAGAAAGAGAGAGAGACACTACACCTCCCAAAATAACTCAGAAAGCACTATGTAAATAGTCTATATGGGTGTGGGAGACTCTCATGCTTTTGAGATTTTGGCCCTTTCCAGTTTTTTGCACCATTTACATGGGAGAATAAATTACCCTTACCAAGCCAAAGGGAGCGAGTCTGTAAGCAGGGTTCAGCCATGGGCTATGCTTCTGTTTCTGCCTCCAGATTTGTGCCTTGTATTTCTGCCCTGACTTCCCTTCACGATGGACTATAAGTTGTAATACGAAATAAACCCTTTTCCCCAGGTTGCTTTTGGTCATGATGTTTTGTTTTTGTTTTTGTTTTTAATCACAAGAGAAAGCAACCATGGACAGAACTGCTGGAGGAGAATTAAAGCCAATGATTTCACTTAAGTTTCTGATAAGTAACCTTTGCCCTAAGTAACAATAAAATCACCGTTTGCAATTTTTTTCTGGTTATTGTTTCATGGCAAATGAGTTCAAAGCTGAAAGTGGGTACATTCATGGCATGATGCCAACTGCAAAATCAGAGAGTGCACCTGACTCTTAGAATTGTGGGTGGGACACGGTTGTGTTTTCATTGACTGCAAACTCAACCCCACCCCTTTCCCATACTTAAGCACTGCAGGCTCGCCTTTTGAGTCACAGCAGAGTAGGAAAGAAAGCTCATCAGGCTCAGTCCTGCAAGGTGGAGCACACACAGCTGAGAATAAACCACAAAAGAGAGACTTGATTAAAGAAGCAGCAATGGACCTGATCCCAAACTTCTCCATGGAAACCTGGATGCTCCTGGCTACCAGCCTGGTGCTCCTCTACCTGTGAGTAAACTGCCCAGGCTTCTCTCCTCAGTGATCAGGAGTTGGGAAGGTGAATTGGATAATTCTTTCCTCTCCCTGTTTTTCTCCAAAGAGAAAATGATGGGAATGTTGCTTGAGTGTGGCATGCTACAAAGACCTAAGGTGTTGCTGTTGGTCTTAAGCAAATCCTTCTAAGGGGATAAATGCACATTACTCTTCTACTCAGCTCCACTTTCTGTAGATAGGAGGATTGAGAGACATCAGTTAGACGTGGGTATACTCTGATTGAATCTCAGGTTTCCCCCAGATTAACCAACCAGAGCTCAGCAGACATGGATGACACATAATTGGTCCCTGTGTATTTTGGGAGGTCTCTTCTGCAAGGTCTCAGGATTGTGGGGATAGGAGGAGCTTTTTTTTTTTTCCATCTTCACCTGTGTCCTCTGATGTCGGAGATGTATAATGTTGTCCCATGTGCACATGGCTCTTTTCTATTCCCTTCTCTCCCCTCTAGGACTGTTTATACAATGTCCTTAGTGCATATCCAAGGCCATATGGTAGGCTGAGATTATTCCTTGTTTTGCTAGCCTTCCCTGGAGCTCTCTGTCTTCCCCAAACTCAGTCTTTCTACCTATAATATGATGAGCTATTTGCTTCTAAGTAATGAGTCTTTTTAAAAAAATACATTAGGTCATTTTATTTTATATTAGTGTTTAGCCTGCATGTATGTATGTGCATATACATGTGTATTTGTTGCCCAAGGAGGTTGGAAGAGGACATCTTATCCCTTATAACTGGAGTTACATACAGATATCTGGCTGTGAGCCACTATATAAATTTTGGAATTGAACCCAGGTCCTCAACAAGAGCAACAAGTGTTCTTAACCACTAAGCATCTCTCTAGTACTATTAAACGATGAATCTTTAGAGTAAAGGAGACCTGACTTTGGTTCTTTTCCTTCACCATTCCCCTTCAAGTCCATAGCATCAGCATAAGGAGTTACTCCTTCCTGATTATGAGATTTACTGGTCTTCTCAAATATCGGACACTCTGAAACAAATAGAATGTTAAATATTTTCCCTTTAAGTGCTTCTGGGAGCTTCAGTAAGAACGTCCATCTCAGAATTTCCTTCCAATGAAGGGATTCCTGTGAGGACAGGAGAGAGGTTACCCTGAGTTCCAGAACTCAAAGCATATGTGGCCACCATCCCCAGCTCATTCTACTGCAATTGTTCTCAGCCTGTGGGTTGTGACCTCCTTTAGGTCAAATGAACGTTTATCAGGGATCGAATATCAGTTATCCAGTTTATCTGATATTTACATTGTAATTTATAACCATAGCAAAATTATGGTTATGAAGTAGTGACGAAATAATGTTATGGTTGTCGGGTCACCATCTCATGGGGAACTGTATTAAAGGATCACTTTATTAGGAAGATGAGAACCACTGTATTGTCTCTCCTCTCTCTCTCTCTCTTTCTCTCTCTCTCTCTCCCTCTCTCTCCCTCTCTCTGTCTCTCTCTCTCTCTCCTTTGTCTCTCTCTGCCTATGAGTCTGTGGGTAGTAGATGCTCCCTCACATCTAACTTCTGTCATCATTTTCTACGAAGGAAAGGTAGAAACTCATAGTGATATGAACATGAAAAATTCAGAGATAGCTTCACTTTAAAGGTAGTTATTCTTTAAAGAAATAGGCATTTAAAGTATTGTGACAACATCTTTTCCATCTGATGGTATTTTGCAATTAACTTAAAATTTTTATTTCCTTCTATTCAGCTGTAGCACTTCTTTGAGGTAATCCTAGCACCTTCCTTCCAAGAGTTAAAGTGGGACTGTTGCTTTCAATATTTGTGAGAACTGATGTATTCACAGCGACTTCATTTGTTCACAATAGTGTCAGGAACAGGAGCCTAATGCATAAATACATGGCACAGATTGCACATCTGCTTTGAAATAAACTTGCTTATCAGGTTTTAAAAAAAATCATCAGTGTTTGATATACCTGTCTGTCCAGTCATGCAAATATCTTAGTGTAGGCGGAGAAGGAAGAGGATGAGCCCATGATGAAATGCAATACCTTCAGGTATTAGTTAGGAGGAAGTGGGGAATATGCCTCTTCTATTAAGAGAGAACTCTCAAATACACTTGCGGGGTGTGACTCTTACTGAAGATCACTAGAAGGATAGTTGATTAGCGTCTAATCAATTTTCTAAATAAAAACAAGTGAAAAAAATGATACATAAGAATTCAGCTTGGATTTCACATGAACATTCAAACTCAATTTTCCAAACATTTATTAATGATTAATAATAAACTTTGGGATTTTTTTTCGTTTTTTCTTTTTTATTATTATTGAAAAAAATTTCTGCCTCCTCCCTGCCTCCTATTTCCCTCCCCCTCCCCCCACTTCTCTCCCCCTCCCTTTCCAGTCCGAAGAGCAGTCAGGATTCCCTGTCCTGTGGAAAGTTCAAGGTCCTCCCCCCTCCATCCAGGTCTAGGAAGGTGAACATCCATACTGGCTAGGCTCCCACAAAGCCAGAACATGAAGTAGGATCAAAACCCAGTGCCATTGTCTTTGGCTTCTCATCAGCCCTCATTGTCCGCCATGTTCAAAGAGTCCGGTTTTATCCCATGCTTTTTCAGTCACAGTCCAGCTGGCCTTGGTGAGCTCCCAATAGATCAGCCCCACTGTCTCAGTGGGTGGGTGCACCCCTCGCGGTCCTGACTTCCTTGCTCATGTTCTCCCTCCTTCTGTTCCTCATTTGGACCTTGGGAGCTCAGTCCAGTGCTCCACATTAACTTTAGGATTTAGACCCCCAAAGTTTTACTTACCTTTTAAGATAACCTTTGAGGTTTTTGAGAGTCCCACAGAGACCTCTAGAGAAGTAAAGACCAAAAATAATTATTACTGTTGGCGTTTTTGTTGTTATTTGTTGCCTATATGTTGCTCCTTCTTTTGAATTTTATAGTGTCTATATACATGACAGGTGAGCCACTATAACATATAATGGCAATCCCAATGTACTAGTTTTCTCTTTCACTTCATAGATATGGAACTCATTCGCATGGACTTTTTAAAAAGTTGGGAATTCCTGGGCCCAAACCTCTGCCTTTCTTTGGGTCAATTCTTGCTTATAGGAAGGTGAGTGTTCATTGGGCTCCTGGTCTTTCCCCTTGTGGTTGCCCATACTGGCTTAGTTCCATCAATAAAAAGATAAAATCTTGAGGAGAACTGAGAATGCATTTAAAAAATCACGTTCCATCTGAAGCAAGATCAGCTTCTCAAAGGCCTTGATGTTAGTCTTTGGAGAATCTGGTTTGGCGCAGTTGATCAACTCAGACCTCTGTCATATCAGCACTCATGGTATGTATCCAAAGGATGCTCAATAGTACCACAAGGGCATGCTGAGGTCTTGATGTTCAGACTTGTGATTCTTGAAAGGAAATGTTCTTTTTTCCCCAGTGTAGATTCTAGCACGGGAAAGCCATGGTTCCGGAACTTTTATTGGCATAATCAAAATATAACTGAAACTTAGCAGAGGTTTTCTTTTTAAGTTTTAGAGACTCAGAGCAAGTATTTAATCGCCAATGTTATGTGTGGAGGAGAAAACATTTTCCTTTGTTGTGTTCTGTATAGAGGAGGCAACTCCCTATTTTCTTATGTTTCCAGGGAGCCATAAAGGCAAATTCTCTTAGCTACTTTTAAAAACATTTTTATGTGTATGAGTATTTTATGTGCTTATAAGTGTGTGTATGAGTGCTGGATGCCCACAAAGGAGTCTCCCTAGAGCTAAAATTACTGACTTTAGCTATCATGTGGGTGCTAGGAACTGAACTCTGGTCCTCTGATACAGCAGGTAATGCTCTTAATCACTGTGCCATCTCTTCAGTCACTCTTTTGCCATCCTTATTCAGTTGCTTTCTCACTCAGTAACTTGCCTGAGATTTAAAAACTCTAAATTAAAAGAGGCTCCTGACTTTTTCAGTGTCATGATTCTATTAGTCTTCTAAGGAAGTGGTCATAAAATAAATAAAAAAAGATGCTGAATAAGGAGTTCATTGGATCTCATTGACGTTCCTTTAGTTTCCATTTCTTCATTGTGTCTATGGAAGGAACAATTCAGAGAGTTTGAGAATTTTCCTGACAGCATGAGAAGCAAAGTCTTTAGAAACATGCTATTATTCATAGTTAATAACCCCAAGCAAAATTATTCATAACCAAGGCTGAGTTTTTGTACATTTGCAAAGTTGGGAGATAATGTGGGAATCTTTAATATCCCTATTTCAAATACCTCTAGCATTTAATTCCTTTCCACTCAGAAAGCTGTAAATAAGAATGTCCCTCTCAGTGCTACTGAGGGATAGTAAGCCTGATTTTGTAAGACTGGAATCATTTGTATCCCAACTAAAGGTAAGGACAGTATGGGAGGACAGTATATTTAACACAGTTATGGATTTTTAATTTTTTTCTCTTTCCAGGGTTTCTGGGAATTTGACACACAATGTCATAAAAAATATGGGGAAATGTGGGGGTAAGTATTCTGTCAATTTCCACAGGGAAGATGTGAAATGTTGACAGGATCTTGAGTGTTAGCTATCTATTATGAAGATTTTGGGGGGATTTTTCTACCAAAGGTTTCATATGTCTCACATACTGAATTTGGCTGAGAAAGTTGCATAATTTGACTTTTTTCCAGGACTTGCTGGTTCAGGGAATGGTTCACCGGAGTTTCAATCCAGTGTCTGAATAATCCACTACTTTGTACTTAAATTACTCACTTTCAGTTTTCCATTCACTTAATATAATTTTTGGTAATCTGATATTTTGATCATGCAAAATTATTAAAAATAGTATGTGGGCAATATTCATCCAGGCTTAGCAAATGTTCTAATTTAGTTTTGATTGTGGCTTCTTTGTGGAGCTATTTTGCATTTGATTCTTTCCTGAATGAGCTATATTATACTTCATTTCATGAGATACCAGTGACCCATGGTCAGAATCCCTGACTTGCAGCTGGTTCTCATGTGGCAGCATGTTGTATAACTAAGATGTTAGTTATATAACATTTTGATCAGATTCTGGGTTCCTGGGCATGCTTCCAACTATCAAGTCCAGATGATTGGGTTTAATCTTCTTTGCTTTGCCAATGCAGGTTTTATGAGGGCCGAAACCCTCTTTTGGCTATCACGGATCCAGACATGATCAAAACAGTGCTGGTGAAGGAATGTTATTCTACCTTCACAAATCGGCGGGTAGGCATTTATTTAAAATATTGTAATCTCTATTTGTTTATATAGTAAGGTCTTTTTGATGCATGAATTATATGTACACATGTGCCTACACACACCCTACACACATATGGAAGTTGGAGGAGGACATTGGGTGTTCTGTTCTTTCCTCCTTATTCCCTTCAGATAGGGTCTCTCATTGAACCTGGAGCTAGGCTGTCAGTCAGCAAGCACTGTTTCTGCCCCTCACAGAGCTAGGGTTAAAGTTGCATGGGGTCATATCCAGCTTTTTAAGTATTTGTTTGATATTCAAAGTCAGATCCTTATGTTTACACAGCAAGTACTCTTCCTACTAAGCCATCTCTCCAGTGCCCCATTTATATTTTAGTAATTATTTATTTTTTTTTTGAGACAGGGTTTTTCTGTGTAACTGCTCTGGCTTTCTGGAACTTGTTTTGTAGACCAGGCTGGCATCAGACTCATAGAAATCTGCCTTCCCCTGTCTCCCAAGAACTGGGATTAAAGGCATGCACCACCACAGCCTGTCAATACGTTAGTTTTTATCATGAAATAATTATAATTTCATAGGACATTGGGTCAAATGTCTAACTGTGGTCCATTTGTTCTTCATGTTGTTTGTCTTAATGCTTTACATAACTGTAAATTTAGTGTGTTTCTGTGACAGAAAATTTGTATAACCTATATATTTTATTTAGTAGTAATTTTACATGTCCTTATTTTGTAGTGTGTGTGCATACAGGCATGTAACTTCATGCATATATAGTTGTGCACCTCTGTATAATCAGTAGAAAAGATAAAGAATTTTTCGTTTGCTGCAAGGTTTTCATATCCTAGTCTATAGAGTTGCCACACAGAACTTGTATTTTCTTCTTAGTTGGAAAGCATTTCATCTTTAGTTCCTACACCATTGGCATATGTTTATCATACAAAATAGTGGGTTTTCTTGTGACTTTTTAAAATAGTTATTTTATATTTGTTTATGTGTATGTTTTATGTGTCTCTCTGTGCTTGTGTGCATGTGAACATGTGTGTAGGTGCCCACAGAGGCCAGAAGAGGGTGCAGTGTCCTTCAGAGCCACAGTTACTGGTATTTATAAGTGACCTGATGCATGCTGGGAACCAAACTCCTGTCCTCTGTAAAAGCAGCAAATCTTCTTAAGTTCTGAGCCTTCGGTCCAATCTCTAAAATGTTTTGTTATATGTACATAGTTTAAAAATCTATTATTAACATTGATAGGTGATACTAGTTTTTATGGATCTTTCTTCACTTAACATGGTCTTCATTCCGTCTATTTTCCTGGAAATAATATAATTTTGCTCTTCTTTATGACGGAATAAAACTCCTTTGTGTGTGTTTGTGTGTCTAAAGCACAGTACTTTAGTATTTTGAATCTTCTGTTTGTGAGAGTTGTATATATGTGTATGTACAATGTGTGTGCCTGTGTGAACCAGCAGAGGACCCGAGGAAGATGTTAGGTGTCTTACTGCACTACCCTGCCTTCTTGGCTACTCTGGCTGGCCAGGGCTACCTGTTTCCATTCCCCTAACACTGCGTTACAGGCACCCATGGCCATAGCCAACATGCTTTAAAATGTGGCTGCTGCAGATTCAAACCCAGGTCCTTATGCTTTAGCAACAAGGATCTTTCCATCAGAGCCATCTCCCCAGCTGTTGTTTTTATTTATTGATTTTTATTGAGCTCTACATTTTTTTCTGCTCCCCTCCCTGACTCTCCCCTCCCCTTCAACCCTCCCCCAAGGTTCCCATGCTCCCAGTTTACTCAGGAGATCTTGTCTTTTTCTACTTCCCGTGTATGTTAGATCTATGTTGTTTTGATCTGTGAATACTTTGTTTCTTTATTCCTTCAAATTTTCACTGTTTTTTAATGAGCATTTTTTATTGCTGTTGTTAGATTTTGTTAGATTTATATGTAAAGTGTTTCATTTTCTTTGGAATTATTGTGAAAATCATTGCGTATTTCACGAGGTTTTGCATTTTCCTTACTTACCTTACTGTGCCTGAGTTTTTGTCATTGACTCATCTGTAAGTTCCAGATGCTTGTTTGTTTATGTCCTCCATGAATTCTTTATCTTGACATTATTTTATTAATAAATAGGGAAGTCTTTTCTTTCTACATAATTTTTATGTTATTTTGTCTTTACTTGCTGTGCTAGCTGGGAGTTCCAGTACAATGATGAACAGAATATTCAGTGTGCCTTTACTTTTAAAGGTTATAAACTTTAATCTTCCACAGTTGTGCTCACTTTTAGCTGCTGTTCCTAAGTTTTTGTGACTTTCCATACAACACATATGCTTAATATTTTTCCATTGCATTTATTTATTACATATTATTAGTGGAGTTAGGCATGATAAAAATGCATGAAAATTAATACATTGATCAATTCAACCTACCTTTATTGAACCTCCACCACTGACAGACCCTCCTTTCTCTCCTCCAGCTTCCTAGAGAGTGACGCATTTGAAACACACATTTCCTGTACCATTTAATGACATAGTTCTAAATAGTTTGTACATAAGTGATGTTTGTTCCCCACAGCCTTGCAGTTACCCAGAACTCTATAGGATAACATCTCTTTTGCTTTGAATTTTAGACTTTTGGTCCAGTGGGAATTATGAAAAAAGCCATCTCCGTCGCTGAGAATGAAGAATGGAAGAGAATCCGAGCATTGCTGTCTCCAACCTTCACCAGTGGAAAGCTCAAGGAGGTAATGAAATAATAAGGTGGTCATTGTAAATATGAGAAACACATCAGGGGACATGGAAGATCACAGCCCTTTTCCAATCAGTGACCTCTGGGCTGAAACTTCTTAAGAATATCCTTTCGTGTTAATGGGACCTTTTGCTTTGTCCTTGGGAAAACTGTGTCTACTGGGAACTGAGCCCCTCATCTCACTATGGATGGTATTTTGTTTTGCGTATAGATGCTCCCCATCATTAAGCAGTATGCAGATGTGTTGGTGAAAAACATGAGGAAGAAATCAGAGAATGGGGATCCCATCAGCATGAAAGAGTAAGTACTAGTACAGTCATTGTTTGTTGGGTTGTTGTGTTGATTACTTTTCTGTGACTAAAGACCTTGCCAAAGCAACTGAAAGAAGAAAGGTTTCATTTTGGCTTACAGTTCTAGGCAGATATATCCATTCATCACAGCATGAAGACACAGTGGCATGAGCAGGAAGCTAGCTGATCACACTGCATCTATGGTCAGGAAGAAGGAAATATGGCTAAGCTACACACACACACACACACACACACACACACACACACACACACTCAAGGCCTGGCCAAAATACCTGCTTCTTGTAATGTGGCTCTACCTCTAAGTTTCCACATTTTTTTCTCAGACAGTGCCACTAGTTGGCGACCAAGTACTCAAACTTGTTGAAGTAGACCACACCTCCTAATAGAGTGCCACTCCTTATGAGCTTATGGGGGCCAATTGCATTTAAACTATCACACCCAGGGAATGTTGCCACCCACATTGGCTCACACCTTCCCACATCAATTTATACAAACAAGGCAACACCCCATGGCCCTGTCCAACTTGATATAAACAATACCTCTTTGAGAGTTTCTTCCCAGGCATTTCTAGATTATGTTATTTTGATAATTAAAACTATCCCTCATGTATCTGTGTCATCCCACAACAGAAAGGCAGACACAACACTGTTACCTGACAAACTTCTCACAGTTGAGTATGTTAGGAACAAGGATATCACAGAAAGGTTGGCACTATGACCGTCCTGGCTGGACATGTGAACTTACTCCTACTTCATACCTTATGTATCTTAGGTGGAGTAGGAAGAGGTGTGGCTGTTAATTTCCATCTCTCTCTCTCTCTCCAGCATCTTTGGGGCCTACAGCATGGATGTGATCACTTCCACATCATTTGGAGTAAATGTTGATTCCCTCAACAATCCTCAGGACCCTTTTGTGGAAAAAATCAAGAAGCTCTTAAAATTTGATGTCTTCGATCCTTTGATCCTCACAGTGAGTACGTGACCTAATGTTTCATTCTTTCTGTTTTTTTAAGTAACAGTGTAGTGAAATATAATCCACATATGTTGTAAGTAGCCCACTTAAATAGGCCAAAAGAAGGTTTTCAATCTATTTAAAATATTTTCAGCTATCAATATTGTCATCTGTGGAATCTTTTTGCCATCCCAGAAACTCTATACTTTTAATGATTACTCCTTATTTACCTCAGGCATAAGCAAAAAGCAATCTATTTTCTAACTGCTCAGATTTGCATATTCTTAAACACTTCATATAAATAGAAGAGTATAATGTCACCTTTTGTGTCTGGCTTTCAAATTGGTATGTTTTAAAAATGTCATATCTTGAAGTATGAATCAGTATTGCATTTCTTCTATGACTGAATCATATTCTATTGTATGGACATGCATGCCACGTTTTGTTTGTGACTGATGGATATTTGGAATGTTTTGACTTTTTGGCTGTTGTGAATAGTGCTTCAGTGAATATTCTTATGCAAGTTTGTGTTTCAGCACACATTTTGGTTGTTTTTGGATGTCTACCCAAGGGTGCCCAGTTATATAGTAATGTCTAACATAATGCACTGAACTAATTAAAGATGTGTCTAATCACATTTCTCAAATGTTTTGCATTTATTCATCTGTTTTGCTCATTTTCACTAGCATTGATATGCTCAACTATACAGCAGAGAATTTTTGAGATGAATCCTACCTAGTTAGGGTGATAAAATTCTTATAGTCACTTGATTCAGTATACTAACATTGTGCTGAAAATCTTGCAACCACATTTACAAGTGATATCAGTTTTCAGTTCTTTTCCTGTGAAATATTTGTCTGGTCTTAGTATTAGGGCACTGTTCTTCTTAAGGAGAATTTTGGAGATGTTTTCGCATCCTTTCTGTATTTTGAAAGTGTTCAGGAAGAAATGGCATATGCTTTCCTTAATATCTATTAAAATTCAGCATCACAACGTTCTGATTTTAGGATTTTCCTGTGGCTAGAAATTAAAAAAAAATCAGGAGCACTTTTAATTCTGTACATATGGTAAGGTAGGAGGAGGTAAAGATTAAGTATGATCCTGGAACACGTTTATATGATAATCTCCTTTTTACCATAGTTCTCCATTTTCTTTAGACTGCGAGAAAAACTATGGGTCTCTTTGTATTTTCTTTGCAACAAATAACCTTGCATTACGTCAGAGGTATATTATGCATGGTGTGCAGCTTTTTTCTGAGTTAGTTTCTATAATTTGTGTATTTCTAAGAATTTGTATATTCCAGTAAGTTGTGTAATTGCAGCTATTGTCCTAGTCCTCCGACCATTAATAGGATTCATTTTTATGCCCTTGTGCTTTTCATGACATATTTTGGCTCCCACTTCACTGTGAATGCTAGTAATCTGAGCCATCACTCGAATTCCAGAACTATCCCAGCTAATGTTTTGCAAACTCTGAAGATATTTTCAAAGAAGCATCTTTTGTTTTCATTGATTTCCTCCATGTTTTTTTATTTCATTAGTTTGCATTTTGGTCAATAGAACCCACTCTCTCTCTGCCTAAAGTGTGTTTTCTCTTCTCTTTTAGTGGCACATGCTATAAAGCATTGCCATGAGATCAGGGTTTCCTCAATACCCATAAACTCCCTTCTGCTTATTATTTTGTCTCCACTTTTATAAAGCTTACTTTGTTTTGTGTTTTTGGTTAATGTTATCATTATTGTTATTTATGTGTGTGTGTATTCATGGGTGGGCAGGTAGGTGCACTTGCGTATATGGGTATACATAAGAGTGCAGAGATAAGAGGAAAACCTCAGGCATCTGCTACCTTTTGTTCAAGGCAGTCTCTCTCACTAGCCTGGAGTGTCACCAAGTAGTTAGGTGAACTTGCCCATTAAGCTCCCAGGAATTCATTTCTCCACCTCTCACACTGCGATTGCTGAGCCACTGCTCTTGGCTTTTAATATGGGAACCAAACATAGGTCCTCACATTTATTTGCAAGGCAAATACATTACCCACTGAGCCATCTTTCCAGCCTTGAAAGTTCTTTCTTGAGCACTTTGATTAATTGTAGCACTGGACTGAACCCTGATCAATCCAAGAAGACCTTAGTCCAACATATCAAGGGGTAAGAGGTCAAGGAATTTAACCCTAACACTGTGAGTCAAGAGCCATTGATATCACTTCTTTGTTGGTGGTCATACATACATTGACATGCCCTTTTCCAGGCAGTGGCCTGAAACCTGACCAAGAGACAGAGTCTCAATTGAGATCCTGATAAATTTTACTGTTCTGAGTATTAGAAAAATGCAATTATTCTAGGTCAAATTTGTCTTTTCACCACAGTTTCTCTTTTCTTTCTCCTCTAGCACTCTTTCCATTCCTTGCCCCAATACTTGATGTATTAGGTTTCTGCCTGTTTCCAAAAGATGTCATAAGCTTTTTTAAAACTTCTGTGCAACGAATGAAAGAGAATCGCATGCAAGAGAAAGAAAAGGTAATAGCTGCTCACACAAGGACTTTCATTTATTCATAATGTGTTTTCCCTCTGTATAAAAATATGCGCATATGTGTGTGTGTGTGTGTGTGTGTGTGTTTGTGTGTGTGTTTCCTGTGCATCTTTGAAAGTCAGATGGAGGAGTGTAGTTTAAGGACAGGGGATTTTTGATATTTGGAAGAGAATGAAGAGTGTAGTGATTGTGAATAGAGAAATGAAATGAGTTAGGAAAACTGTTTAAAATTAATGATATGCTTGACAATTAGTTTAGCACAGAATAAATACTTCAAGGCAAAAATTTTACCACATGCTAGTAAAAAGAGATTCCTTGCTTATGATTTGTGGGGATGTAAATCAGGGGAATTATGGAAAACTATATGAATACAACTCAAAAAATCAAAGTTTTTTTTTTATTTTTCAGTACTGGGGATAAAACAATGGCCCTTCCACAAGGTCAGCAAACATGCCGTTCTTGAACAATGGCTCAAGTTGCCCTGGGTATCTAGCTTAATCTTATTCTAGAATTTCACGTCAGAAACAGAACTTATGACTTTGGTGTTGGATCAGGAGATCCCAACTGGAGCAACTATTATTATTTATTATTATTATTATTTTGGTTTTCATTTTCTTCTGGCTCCTGATTCTGGGAATAAAGGTGTGGGCCATCACACCCAGACAGGAACAAACATTATTAAAGGCTCATTTCTTCGAGGGTTAAACCTTCAGTGATCTTAGTCCACATCAGAGTAAAAAGTTGGGCAGAAAGTAAAAAATAGATCTCCTATGTGACCCAACCATCTTCTTGTTGGTCTTATAATGACATATGCTTATGTGCTAGACATTTGTACTTCTATGCTCGCTGAAGCCATTCAAAAAAGTCTGAAAACTATAGAGGAATGGACTTTGAAAGTTCTCATCATTGATGAGTAATGGATATTGAAAAAATATGCTTAACCTTATTTAAACAACATTCAATATATGCATGCATCAAAATTTCATTTAATTCCATTTCCATGTACAATTTTAATGCATCATTTAATGCAAATTTAGAAAATGAGACAAAATTGCCATTTTTCTTTCCCAAAAGGAAAATGATTCTACTTAAAAATTCTTTCTAAGTCCTTTAATTTCCCAGACCTTATACTGGCAAGAAATCACTTCATTTCCAACCCTATTATTTTACACATTTTCATAAAGGTCATTTCATTCTACCCAGCACAGTATAGTCCGCTTTATTTTTAATTTTTATCTTTTGGGAGAGTCTTACTATGTAGCTCAGGCTTGCTTCTCCCAGTCATTGTGCTTCCAAGTTTCCTCGATAAGGACAACAGTCTGAGATTAATATGGGAGGACAGGAGATTGAAGTCCAGAATTTCTTACTGTGTGAGCACACATGCAAAGGGAAGGGACCACCTGGACTGTGCAGAAGTCAGACAACTCATGGTCAAAGACGAGAAAGACCAAAGTCATTGGACACACAGACAGTGTCACTCAGGAAAGCATTCTTTTCTCCAAACCATGTGCATGTACATTTTTGTTTATCGTTGACTTTGGGAACCACAGCCAGACTTCTAGATTTTAGCTAAATATTATTCTCAGAATGGTGACTAGTTCAGCACTTGTGACTCACTCTGACCTCTCAACTGACCTTGAATCTTTCAAAAACCATTTTCTTTCAGCAAAGAGTGGATTTTCTTCAACTGATGATAAACTCCCAGAATTCCAACATCAAGGAGTCTCATAAAGGTAAGCATGGATGTTTCATGTTCATTGATAGGGAACCTCAGAGTGGGGGCTTTGTCCTGGAAATATGCAGTAGGCTTTCAGGTAGACGAATATGCCTCCAAATTTCAAATAACTCCAACCCCTCCAAACCCAACCTAACCCAACCCAACCCAACCACAAATGTAGACAGTATATGTAGTAGCCAGAGGAACTTTCTAGAAGTACTGGATTATAATTGTGTTAAAAGCCTAAAGGGCAGCCATAAGCATGTGATTTGGGCCTGGAGGTTACCAGTGGCCTCTGAATCTTGTACCACAGAACAAATACCGTCAGGGCCTCGTCTAGATCCACTGAGTCAAAAGCTCTGCCTGGAGATTTGTATCTAGACATCTAGTGGGAGGAACAGCCCCACAGTGGTGATGGTCTTTGGAAACCTGGAATGAATGCTTCTCCAGCTCTTGATTTACAGCCAAGCGTTAATTTCCCATGTAGCTGATAAAGAACATATGGAGGAAGCCTTGGGACTAAGCATATATCCCACTACTCTTATTAGCTTTTCCACCTTTGCTGTGGTAGTTGAAGAATGATGGCTTTCTAATTCCATCCTGTCCCATTCAGCTATGAGTAATGTTCTGTGTAAGAGAGGGGCAAGCTGTCTGTTTTCTGTTTCATCTTTTCTTTTTCCTCCTTATGCCCTCCTTCCTGCTCTTCCTTTTTTCCTTCATTCTCCAAAACTCCCCCTCTTCCTTCTCCCTTTTCCTCTTACACTTCTTCCTTCTCTCTCCCTTCTTTCTCCTCCTCCTGTTCCTCACCTTCTCCTGCATAATACCATAAATTAATTCTGCTCCCTCACTGTCATTACTCATTAGGACATTCATGTTCATTCAGACATGTGCATTGAGTCAACCTTTCATACGGGCACCTGAGTTCCTTTTTTGAGATCACAACACAATCAAAACACTTATCCCTCCCTTTCTCCAAACCCTTACATGGACCCCTCCATGCGCTCTTTCAACTTCACTCTCTTTTTTCATTAATTGTTATTGAATTAACAGATATGCATGTACATATATGTTCTTAAGTATAATCTGCTTAGTCTGTATAATTTTGCATGTATGTATGATTTTGGGTCTGGCCATTTGGCACTGAATAACTGTGCTCTTCTCTGGAGGAGACTATTTCTCCCCCTTTCTACATTCGTTAGCTGAATACTGTTCTTTGCATAGGGTAGAGGCCTCCTGAAATTTCCCCATCCACATTGGCATGTCCTTGTTCAGCTCATGTTTGGGCATTCATGTTGCCGAGACTTTATGGGTGTAGTTTCTGACATTATTAGGAGACACAATATCACAGAACATTTCCTGATCTCCTGGCTCTTACATTCTTCTTGCCCCCTCATCTGCAATGTTCCCTGAACCTTATGTATGGGAGCGTTTTGGAGATAAATCTACTGGGACTGGGCTCCACAGCAGTAGTGGCATATATACCTTGGTGTTAACCAGCAGTTCTCTAATTGGACTTAAGACTTGCTCAACAACAGAGAAACCGTGCCTGGTTTCTTACAACCAGCTAAGTACTCAGTGCTCATGAAGTCATGGATCTTAGATGACAATCTACAGCCACTACTTTGCTATATCATCACAATCTCTAACAGTCTGAACACTTGTCCTTATACCCACAGATGAGTGTAGTCTTCATCCCTCATCAAAAAAACTTCTCTTTGCAACAGACTGAGTTCTTTCTTATTCTTCTCTAATTTTTAAAAAGTAGTTTACAAATTTCAGAGAAATTATAGGCTCTCAGTCAGTTCCAGCTGAATTTATACAGACTTTCATATATTCTTGCTCTCATACCTGCACAGTCTCCTGTTCTTTTTTTGAATAAATTTTAGAAAATCACTTATTTTGTTTGTGTGTGTATGCAGGCATGCGCATGCAATGGTGTGCATATGAGGGTCAGAGGACAACTTACACAATTCTGTTTTCACCTTCCCTCCTTTTGGTTCTGGGGAATGAAACTCAGTTCATCAGGCTTGGCAGCAGTCCCTTTCCCTGTTGAGACATCTTGCCCTACCCCATACTCTCCCGTTTTTAACACTCATCAAAGTAGTATATTTGTTATGAGCATTGAACCTACATGCTCATATTATCACTGAAAGCTCACAGTTATAAATAGGACTCATTGTTGGTCTTGTCCATGGCATATGATTCATGCCCGATGACAGTGGGCAGGTTTATACTTGACTGGCTAGTTTGTACTTTGTGGGAAGATAGCATGAGTCATTGTGCATGCAACTCCCTGTTGTAATCCCTGCCCTGTAAAGAAGAACCATGTAAATAAGGAGCACACACATAAGGGCGGTCCTGCTTGGCCTACATTCAGCCTTAGTCAAAACTTTGGGTCTTGGATAACAGGGCTGCAGTTTGAAGCATCAAGGTACAGCACTCCACAGATGCAATTTTTCTGGAATTGATGTTTCTTTCATTTGAGATTTAAAAATTCTCTAATGAGGATCCATTTACTAGAATATTGCTAGTCATTGCCCTTTAAATAAAAGAATTATTTTCTAACTTGTTTCTGTGTATGTGTGTATGTCTGTGTGAACGGATGAGTAAAGGTTCCTGTGGAGGCCAGAGGAGGCGATCAGATCCCCTGGTGCTTAGGTGAAGGGTGGTTGTGGGCTGCCCACAACTGAACTCAGGTGCTCTGCAAGGGAAGAGAAGCCTGCATTCCTGTTTTCTTTTTAATAGGGGTTCCTCTGTGTGTCCGTGGCTGTATTGGAACTTGCATTATAGACCCTCAAACTCAGAGATACACCTGCCTCTGCCTCCTGAGTGCTGGAATTAAAGGGATGTACCACTACCACTCAGCTACAACCTACATTCTTAACAGACCCAGTCATTTCTCCAGCCCATCATTCAGTGCTTTGTAGCTATTCTTTTTTCTCTGTAGCTTTTCTAACTTCTAAATTGCATTTTGAAGATTGGTAATACTTGTTTGCCCAATGGATTATGCATGTTAACATCACAGTTTATGAAAGTTCAGACACTGACCAGGGAGACATGGGGTGGCTTTGAGATGCTACACTACTGAGAACCTCCAAAATGTTGCTACCGGTTCATAGACCTCACTTTGAGTAATTTTAATATCATTGCCTCAGTTTCTTTAATACCTATATACTTCATAGGTCTGCTAATGTCCCATGCACTCAAACATTTCTATTTCATAGTCACTCAAAATGTTACAAGCTAAGTTTTAGGCAGAATAATTATTTTCCTTAAGGAAGTACCATTTATTTTGCTTATATGAAGTAGATTTCCTAGGGTTGGGGCAATGGCTCAGTGGGTAAGAACACTTACTTTGTAAGCATGAAGACTTTAGTCTGAATGCACAGTACCCACATAAAAAGCTGGGCATGGCTGCAAGTTCCTGAATATGCTCAGAACCAGAGGGTAGAGACAGGAGGACACAGAGTTCAGTATCCTGCTGAACTAGCTGAAATGATGAGCTTCTAGTTCAGTAGGAAACTCTGTCCCAAAGCAATGACACACAGAATAATGGAGGAAGACACCAGAAATCCTGCCCTGAGTCTATGTCCATACACACCTGCACACCCATGTTCATGGCCTACCTGTATACACCATGTGCAGGAGCGCACACATACATTCACACACATGCAAATAAACTGAAACTTAATAAAATAAATAAAAATTGAATTGTGCAGATGGTAAGTTAAAATATGCTGTACTAGCTTTCCAGTAAATGAGCAGTTACGATTTCAGTTCTCACAAAGAAACAAAATAAAAATTGAACAAACAAGGTATATTTCTAATTATCTACAGGGCATACCAAAGAAACTGTGTAATAGACAGAAATTCTTCCTCTTGATATTGTTCAGTGGTGGAGGATGTCAGAATGAGGGGCAGATAGTCAAGAGGAGTGTAGACCTTAGGAAACTCGACAGAAGTGACTTTCTCATTTCAATCCCTTGTCAGATTGATTGTGAGAATGAAAACCATGGCCACTGTGATCCTGAATTGCTTTCTCATAATCTTTTCAGGGATTTGGAATATTTATTTTTTATCCAAATAATACATTTCTTAATACTGTTCTCCTTTTCCTAAAATGTATCTATTGGGCCCTCAATATAGGTGAGCAGATAAAGGTACTTGATACCAAGTCAAAGACCTGAGTTCAAACCCCAGGATCCAAATGTTGCAAGGAGAGAACTCATTCTTGCAAGTTGTCTTCTACCCTAACAAGAATACCATGGTATACCCTTTCATACACACACACACACACACACACACACACGCACGCACGCACGCACGCACACACGCACACACACACACGCACACTCACACACGAATGAAATATAAAATAAAGTGTATTTCCTTTCCCATTAGCTTTGTCCGACCTGGAGATTGTGGCTCAGTCAGTTATATTTATTTTCGCTGGCTATGAGACCACTAGCAGCGCTCTTTCCTTTGCTTTGTATTTACTGGCCACTCATCCTGATGTCCAGAAGAAACTGCAGGATGAAATTGATGCAGCTCTGCCCAATAAGGTGAGAGGATTGGTCTGGAGAGGGAGGAAGGGAAGAGGAGATGCATTGACACTAATGGCCCCTTATCACATCCAGTGAGAATTTTTCAATAGTGATAAGTATTGATCCCGTCACCACCTTTATGTAAGAAGGTTCTGGAAAGAGATATTGATGGGAAACAGGCATTGGATTCTGCTTTTAGGAAAATAATGTCTTTGTAGATGAATGTTGGCACATCTTTATCTATTATATGCTATCAAAACCTACTAAGAAACAGCCTCAAAATCACAGTGGCAGGGAAGTGTGAACATTGGTTACTCAATGTCTGTATATTCAGCTCTGCTGATATTGTAGGGTGTGCTGTTGCCTGCTGTTGTCTGACTGTGACTGACCTTGCCTGGCTAGGCAGACTGATTTAGCTCTGCCCCACACATCTCTCTCCACTCATAGGTGGCCTGAGTCAAACTCTTAACCCATCATTATCATCTGTTCAAAGCTCCCATAAAGTAATAGTCAAATGTTCCCTATATTAGTCTTTACAACTCTGTCCAAACTGGGGAGCTGTGGGGTGTTGTAACATGAACAGGGGCCTGCTTGTTTGAGTTTCTGTCCTGCCCGGTACCCCACAACTGTTTAGGCCCAAAGAAAATCACACATAGGTCTCCATAAATTATAAGCTGATTGGCCCATTAGCTCTAGTCTCTCATTGGCTAACTCTCACATCTTGATTAACCCATTTTTCTGATCTATGTTAGCCATGTGGCTTAGTACCTTTTTTCAGTGGGGCTGATCACATCCTGCTGCTTTAGTGGTGGTCTGGGCAGGAGTGGGAAGAATCAACTTCCTCCTTCCCAGAATTCTCCTGTTCTCATTACATCATTTCTACTTCCTGTCTGGTTTTCCCACCTATATATTCTGCCTTGCCCATCAGCGTTTATTTAAAACATGGTTGACAGATTACAGACAATTCTCCCGCACCAGGGTGTGAGGTTATGTGGTCTGTGTGGTGGTAGTCTGTCTGGTTTATCATTCTCTTCAGATCTCACAGGCAAGCCCTGAAGGAACAGCCACCAGAATGAACCAGCCACAAAGAATAGAGCTGAGTGATGGATCCTTTTCTCATTGTGACTTTTATACCAGGGTTGGAATGGACCATTTTGATAGCAATGACTCTATCTGTCTTTTGTCCTTTAATAGAGTAGAGACTAGTATCTCCCCAGATCATTTAAAATTTTATCCTATTTGATGCTTCCAAGTGTGATATATAATCAAAAGATTGACCACATGGGATATTTTCAAATAAGAACAATAGGGGTTTTCCTTCTTTCTGTGTTTATTTACTTTCAAGTACATGTGTGGATCTCTCTGTGGAAAGGTAACTCTAAGAGTCTCAAGTTGTTGTTGACTCTAATTATCATGATCTGCTGGTTATGGTTCCTCACCATAAGAAGGAAAAAGTTGTATATAGCAATACCGAGGATTTTAGGTCCTGACTTCTGGATTGTCACAAAGTCTTCCAGTATTTCATAATTACCCAACATTTCTTATAGGTATATTGAGCAGGTTGAAGTTTCAGTTATTAAAATGATTTGTAAATGCTAAGGTCTTGCATCAGTGGGAGTTTTTCTTTGGCAGTGTAACCTGCTAATAGTTCTCCACAGATGAAAGTTAGTTCAAAGCCGTAATTTACTAAAATCTCTTTCCCTCTTTGCAGGCACCCCCCACCTATGATGCCCTGGTCCAGATGGAATATCTGGACATGGTGATAAATGAAACTCTCAGATTATATCCAATTGCTGGAAGACTAGAGAGGGTCTGTAAGGCAGATGTGGAAGTTAATGGGGTTCTCATTCCCAAAAGGACTGTGGTGATAGTACCAATTCTTGTTCTTCACAAAGACCCAAAGTACTGGCCAGAGCCTGAGGAGTTCCGCCCTGAAAGGTACAGGGACGTGGGGAAAGATAAACTACCTAAAACTGGGCTAGTCCAAGCGTGACGTGCTGTCTCTTGGTGTTGAAAACACACAAGTAGCAAGAGCAGTCTGTCTGCGTTTACTTATCATCTATCTATCTATTCACCTATATACCTATACAAACTTTTAAGACAAGAGTAGCATCTGTCACAATGTTCTTAGCACTACCTTATTTTAATGTATTAGTCTTTTCATTCCTAGGTTTTTTTTTGCTGTTACCTTTAACTGCTCCTATAACCTTTAAGGACTATTTACATTTTTCATTTAACTAGGCTTTGCCTCCTGGGTCCTCCAGTGTGACTGTGATGATGTAATCTGAGGGTCTTGTTTGAGCAGCTCTACTGAGGACAGAGAAGAGACCACAGATCTTTCCATTCTTACCTCTGGATGTTGTCCTGGACACTCTCTTACACTATGTGAATTTTCCAAAGCCATGTGGCCTGCTGTCTAGAAGTCTGAGGCATCCTTCTTCTCAAGCAGGCTCTTCTAGGAAGCCAGAGGCAAGGTCAGGCTTTAGTCACAGTCTACAGTCTAATTGTTTTCTTGGCAAGCAAAATGAAGAATGGTGTTTCTAGGGCAGAGGCTTAGGATCTAGAGAGACATTGCTTCTAATTATGCACCTCCTGATTTCTGACACCTTATGTTTTTGGCCATGATGTACCATTTAGATATAATTAAGTCTATGTATAGTACTTGCTGAAGAAGCTAACCAGAGCTCATCAGTTCTTCTGTCTTCTAGACTAGATGGCTTCTGTGTTCCTTCCAGTCTCAGTAATTACACGTCCTATAGTTTTGTGGCACACAGACAATTGACTGTGCTGCTGTTATTATATTCATTTAATAATGAAACAGATAGTCTGTGTTTACTGTGTTATGTGAAACTACCTCAAACACAGATCAATGAATATGTTGATCAATATCTACAACAGAAAATATTTGACAAATTCACAAAGGTACTGTGTACAAACCAACATCTTCAGCACTCATCTTTAGTGGGCTCCCACTAGCTCAGGTCAGATGTTTCTTTGGCTATCCCTTTTTCATATTATCATTTCTTCCTTTCTTCTACTGGACTCTGGGAGCTCAGCCCAGTGCTTAGCTGTGTATCTCTGCTTCTGTTTCCATCAGTTACTGGATGAAGGTTCTATAATTTCAATTAAAGTAATTATCAATATTACAGTAGGCTAGTTTAGGCATCCTCTCCACTGTTGCTTAGTGTCTTATCTGGGGTCATCCTTGTGGATTCCTGGGTATTTACTTTGTGCCAGGTTTCTTGCTAACCCCACAATGGCTCCCTCAATCAGGATATCTATTTCCTTTCTCTCCCTCTCTGTCCTTCCCCCATCTCAGCCATCCCACTCTCTCATGTTGTCCTCCCCCATCTCTCCCATTCCCTTCCCCCTTCCCTTCTCTTCCCTCTTCCCTTCTCCATTTCCATGCTCCCAGTTTTCTCAGGAGATCTTGTCTATTTCCCCTTCCAGGGGAATCCATGCATATCTCTCCCAGGGTTCTCTGAATGTGGGTGATAGTTGTGAGACAGGGGATGTCTATGGGTTCACTGCCAGTGAGATCAGGACTTACCTCTAGTGCTGGAACTGACTTTTTGAAACCCATTCTCTTTGGAGGGATACCTTGCTCAACCTAGATATAGGGGGAGGTCTTTGGTTATGCCTCAGACTGATATGCCAAACTTTGTTGGCTCCCCATGGGAAAACCATTCTTTGAGGTGTGGATGGGGGAGGAGAGGAAGTAGAAACTGGGATTGATAAATAAAATGAAAAACAATTGTTTTAAAATAAAAAATTTTGAAGACAAAATTATATAGAAGAAATAAAGGATAGGCAATACAGTTTATTAGGTCATAGTGTTTTTGTGTGTTTGTATGTGTGTATTTGTGTGTCTGTGTGTACAAGTATAAATTTATTTATATATGTGTGTACTCACATATGTGAATTTTGTTTCTCTCTCTCTTGATCTCTCTGGTGTGTGTGTGTGTGTGTGTGTGTGTGTGTGTGTGTGTGTGGTGTAGTATACACCAGAGATCCAATTGGTGGGTCTTTCTCACATAAGATGCAGTTCATTGATACTGATTAGCCAATGAAGTTGACAGATCCGCCTATCTCTGTGGTCTGTATTCTAATATAGATTGAAATGTTCATTAATGTTCCTAAACTATAATTTTACCTAGTTTATGGGGATCTGAACACAAGTCCTATTCTGTGAGGCCAAACACTTCCTTTTCAACTGTGCTATATTAGCACTCTTGAGTACTAACAATTTCCTATTACATTAAAAATATCAATAAATAATTTTCCAAGTATCATTTCTGCTAGATGAAGAAATTTACAGCTAGAGCTCTTTTGTCTGTTTCCTTTATAATATTTTTCAATCTCTGTCTTTAACTTAGACTTTTGAATATGTTTCTATTAATGGAACTTGATGAATAAAATAGTCATCAAATTTCTGAAATCAAAACAAATCAATATCCACAGCACTCTCAATAGAATTCTGTGTGAACAGCAACCATTCATTCATGTGTGGTGTTTATTCACACACCTCCACAACCATCATTATGTTTTTGGAAATATAATATACTTAAGACTCAAAAATTTTTCAAATATTGAAAAAACAGCTTAAAACACAAAGTCACATTGCAATTGCTGCTTTTTCTAGGAACCAACAAATTTTCTCTTAGATATCATTTATATGTAATCTAATTTGAATAGGTTATCTACCCTACCATATTTTATACCCAAAAGAAAACACAGATAAATAAATTAATGAAAATATCATGCTATAGTAGCATTGTATGTCTTTGTAAATTATCTGACTTAAAATATTCAGTGAAGAAGAAAGGGAAGTGCAGGAAGAAAAAGAAGGAACAGGAGGGAAAGTAAAGGGAGGCTAGTAGGGATATAAGAAGGAAGGAAGGAAAAGAAAGAGAAGGAAAGAAAAAAGGAGGGAGGGTAAAGCACAAGTGAAGAGAATGGTAGAGGAAAGGAGGATGGGAAGTAGGAAAGAACAGAGAGATAGAGAGGAGTAGAGAGAAAGGGAAGGTAAAGCAATAAGGGAATAAATAAGAGGAAGAAAGAAGAAAAAAGAATAATAGAGAAGAGAAAAAAGAATAACAGTGAGAAGAAAGAGTAAGGAAAACAATTTCAGTAGTGTAGTGATATTTCATTGTATATTTTCTTTACACAAAACAGTAATACTAGTCAACCATACAGGCCAGGCAGTGGTTGCACACACCTTGAATCCCACGATTTGGGAGACAGAGGCAGATGGATCTCTGAATGTTCATGGCCATCCTGGGCTACACAAGATCAATGCAGAAACAGATCCAGGTGGTGATGTTCACACCTTTAATCCCACTATGAGGGAGTCACATGCCTTTAATCCTAGTCCTAGAGGGGAATATAAAACAGGAGGAAACAGAGGTTTAGGACTCAGTCTGTAGTCACCCAGCCTTGGTAGAGATAAGACTTCTCCAGTGTCTGGCTGCTTTACTTTTATGATCTTCAGGTTGAACCCAATATCTGTCTCTGGGCTTTTAGTATTCATGCTACACAGAAGTGATGACTATTTTATCCTCCCACTTCTATGACTATTAATTTAGCCAATAAGATACTTTTCTTCACTTGGTCTTATTTCTTATGTCTCAGAGAATGAACATATCACACTAAATGCAACAATCATGTTTAAAGATAAACATTCTATTAAACAGCATTCACCTCATCTCAATATGACTACAAGCTCCTCCATGGTAAAGCGAGAGGGAAGACTTGTAACTTTTTAATTCCTGTGGCATATCACCTACTCCAAGGCTCAGAGAACACTGTGGAAGAAGGGATGGAAAGATGAGGAGCTAAAGAATGAGGGAGGAGTGTTAAATGTCTTCTGGCTAGAACATGGCCATCCCCATTATGAACATACAACGTTTGTGACTTCCTGTGAAAGACTCTCACAAAAAGACATGGAAATAGGAAGGGGACAAGTTGTAAATAACGTGAATAGAGTTGGGGAGATTATACAAGAAGTTAATGTGGAAGGGGAAAATAATCACAATATATTATAAACAAGCAAGAAATTGTACGAGTAACACTAAAATTTTCACAACCAGATCAGAAAAGCTTCCTGTTTATTACTGCTTATGGGTATCTAAAAATATCAAGTAAGTGACTGTTGTGGGTTTTATGTTTTGTTAACTTGTCTTCCTCTACTCCTGTGGAACCAGGTTCAGCAAGAAGAACGAGAACAACATTAATCCTTACACGTATCTGCCCTTTGGGGATGGACCCAGGAATTGCATTGGCATGAGATTTGCTCTCATGAACATGAAAATTGCTCTTGTCAGCATCCTGCAGAACTTCTCCTTCCAACCTTGTAAGGAAACTCAGGTCAGTGTGCTTTTTCAGTAAGTTTTATGTTTTATGGGAGTTTATCTTTTTAACTGGGCTATTGATTTGTAGAGAACTATACTGATCTATTTATCCAAAGAATTTCTTTGCAGTATTTATTGGAGAGTTTATGTATTTCAGTTTTAGAATTGTTATCTTTTTTTTCTCATATATTTTTTTTATTGAGAAAAGGAGAAAAAAAACAAAAACAAAAACCAAGTTTCCACCTCCTCCCAGCCTCCCATTTCCCTCCCCCTCCTGCCACCCTTCTCCCCCTCCTCTCACCCTTCTCTCCCTCCCCCACTCCTCTCCCCCTCCCTCTCCAGTCCACAGAGCAGTCCGGGTTCCCTGCCCTGTGGTAAGTCCTAGGTCCTCCCCCCTCCGTCCATATCTAGGAAGGTGAACATCCAAACTGGCTAGGCTCCCACAAAGCCAGCACATTAAGTAGGATCAAAACCCCGTGCCATTGTCCTTGGCATCTCATCAGCCCTCATTGTTCGCCATGTTCAGAGAGTCCAGTTTTATCCCATGCTTTTTCAGTCACAGTCCAGCTGGCCTTGGTGAGCTCCCAGTAGATCAGCTCCACTGTCTCAGTGGTTGGGTGCACCCCTCGTGGTCCCGCCTTCTTTGCTCATGTTCTCCCTCCTTCTGCTCCTCATTGGGACCTTGGGAGCTCAGTCCAGTGCTCCAGTGTGGGTCTCTGTCTCTATCTCCATCCATCACCAGATGAAGGTTCTATGATGATATGCAAGATATTCGTCAGTATTGCTCTAGGATAGGGTCATTTCAGGTTCCCAATCCTCAGCTGCCCAAGGAACTAACTGGGAACCTCAGCTTGGGCACCTGGGAGCCCCTCTATAAAGACCTAAGTATAAAGATTGTCTAAATGCAGGAGATAGACCTGTAGTAATAAGAGCGGCGGGGCTGCGTTCCCAGCACCCCGGCCGCCTGCTCGGCTAGCTTATACCCCGAAATAACAACACACAAACTGTATTCATTTAAACACTGCTTGGCCCTTTAGCTCTAGCCCTTACAGGCTAATTCTCACATCCCGATCAACCCATCTCTAATAATCTGTGAGCACCAGTCTTACCGGGAAAGATTCAGCATGTCTAACCTGGCGGCTTGCTTCATCGCATGCGTCTGACCGGGAGAGCAGAGCATGGCATCTCTCTGAGGAGTCTGCTCCCGAGAGGAGAGCTGTGGAGTCTGAGCTCACTTCCTCTTCCTCCCAGCGTTCTGTTCTGTTTACTCCTCCCACCTATCTTCTAACCAATGAGGGCCAAGCAGTTTCTTTTTATTTAACCAATGACCTTCCTCCATCATAGACCAATAATGATTCTTTCCTTGAAAGCATGTGCACTTAAGCTTAATCCCCACAACCCATTAAAAGCTAGCAAACAAAGCAAACAAGCAAACAACCAACCAAACAACTCCCAACATAGCAACTAAAAAAACCTAGCCACCAACAAACCAACCAACCAAACAACCAACCAACCAACCAAACAAACAAACAACCAACCAAACAAACAAACAACCAACCAAACAAACAAACAACCAAACAACACCTATTACCAACTAGGTATGTTGACATGCACTGAAAATCCCAGAACCAAGGAGACAGAGACCAGTAGATTCCAGGAGTTCACTAAGTAACCCAAACGATATAATTTGTGAGTTCTAGGCCAGTGAGAAATCCTGTCTCCAAAAGGGTAGGTAGCACCGAAGGAAGGACACTGGAGGTAAAAGTCGTTTTTGTGTGCTTGTAAAGTACTTTGGCATTTTTGTGTCTCATCTCTGTATTTGTGGTTGGTGTCTCTTCATTGACTACTTTTTTTTTTTATTGAGAAAAAAAATTTACGCCTCCTCCCAGCCTCCCACTCCTCCCCCCTCCCCCCACTCCTCTCCCTGTCCCCCCACTCCTCTCCCCCTCCCCCCACTCCTCTCCCCCTCACTCTCAAGTCTGAAGAGCAGTCAGGGTTCCCTGCCCTGTGGAAAGTCCAAAGTCCTCCCCCCTCCATCCTGGTCTAGGAAGGTGAACATCCAAACTGGCTAGGCTCCCACAAAGCCAGAACATGAAGTAGGATCAAAACCCAGTGCCATTGTCCTTGGCTTCTCAGCAGCCCTCATTGTCCGCCATATTCAGAGAGTCCGGTTTTATCCCCTGCTTTTTCAGTCACAGTCCAGCTGGCCTTGGTGAGCTCCCAATAGATCAGCCCCACTGTCTCAGTGGGTGGGTGCACCCCTCGTGGTCCTGACTTCCTTGCTCATGTTCTCCCTCCTTCTGTTCCTCATTGGCACTTTGGGAGTTCAGTCCAGTGCTCCAGTGTGGGTCTCTGTCTCTATCTCCATCCATCGCCAGATGAAGGTTCTATGATGATATGCAAAATATTCATCAGTATGGCTATAGGATAGGATCATTTCAGGTTCCCTATCTTCAGCTGCCCCAGGAACTAACTGGGGACCTCGCCTTGGGCGCCTGGAAGCCCCTCTAGGTCCAAGTCTCTTCCCAACCCTATGATGGCTCCCTTAATTAAGATATGTGCTTCCCTGCTCCCCTATCCAACCTTCCTTTATCCCAATCATCCCGTTGCCCCACGTTCTCCCCATCCTATCCTTCTCACTTTTCTCTCCCCATCTCCCCTTACCCCCATCCCACCCCACCCCCAAGATCCCGATTTTTTGCCTGGCAATCTTGTCTACTTCCCCTACCCAGGAGGATAGCTATATGTTTTTCTTTGGGTTCACCTTCTTATTTAGCTTCTTTAGGATATCAAATTATAGACTCACTGACTTTTATTTATGGCTAGAAACCAATTATGAGTGAGTACATCCCATGTTCATCTTTTTGGGTCTGGGTTACCTCACTCAGGATAGTATTTTCTATTTCCATCCATTTGCATGCAAAATTTGAGAAGTCATTGATTGACTACTTCTTATACTTGTTTACTTGTTGCAGATCCCTTTAAAATTAAGCAAGCAAGGACTTCTTCAACCAGAAAAACCAGTACTTCTAAAGGTTGTGTCAAGAGATGGGACCATAAGTGGAGCTTGATGTATAGTGGTTTGTTATGATGTTGTGTCCCACTGGACAAGAAACCAATTTAGATTGTGGATAAATTCAAAATGAAGACTGTGGTAATCTTGTGCATGCATGCAGGATTCTGGGTATTCATCGAGCTTACTATGGAACAAAATGATGTGAAGACACCAATCCAAGGAGATACATTCAACTTCCCGGCTTTTGTGGGACTTCCTAATTCTACTTCGTTGTCACCACCAATCTTGATTTCTGTTGAGAAAATAAATATCAATTACAAGTTTTATCAACAACTACTAATGAAAATGAGAATTTTTATAGTGATGCTGATGACTAAATGTCTACTGAACATTTTTTATTTGAAGTATATTACAATTAACTACTAAATTGAGAAGCCAATAAGCATGGTGGTATTGACATTTCCTAGAGAGTTGTGAAGGAACAACTATTTACTCCAGATATGGTAACAAAGAGAGACTGAAGGAATGATTCCACCCAAATTTAGCTTAGTGAAGTAGTGAATTTCTATGGGCACTTACAAGAGCATGAATGAGTTCTTGCTTCCATACACACAGGTGATTCTAGAGCAGCTCCATCACTGAGTCTTGTGAAGAGTGTTGCATCTCTGAGGCAAGAAAGACATATCTCTGACGTTCCCTTATAATTCCTTATGATTACTACTGCCTATATAACCTGGATGCTGGGATCTTAGGATTCCTCCAAGTTTCAGAAACTTCCTGACACTTGAGAGTTTTGTTTACTTCTTGAATCTGATAAGCTTCATTTTCTTCTGGATCTTAATGAGCTTTTCCCTAGATGAAACTTTCATTTCAGAAAAAAATAGATACACAACAGGATGGGTTGATAAACTCAATCAGGATCTATTTTTTGTTTAATTATTTTGCTGTTCAGTTAAATCATTTATGCATTTTATTTGCTCATACTAATTACATGTACTAATGTGTTTCATTATGGCATTTTATGTGCATTAAATATTTTTTGACTTTATTTACCTCCATTACTATACCCCCATTTTCTTCATTGTACTGATCAGTTCTCTCTTTCCAACCAGTTCCCCCTTCTACTTTCCTGTCTTTTTGGGTGTATGAGTTTAAATAATGTTGCTTAAGAATAGTAAAGTTAAGGGGTCATTTTTAACAATATGGTCCACTTATCAGTGGGCTACATCACTGAAGAAAACGTATATCACTGAACTATTATTAATTCCATGTAGATTATGAGGGAAGGGTAGAGTTTCACATCTCTACCTGTATCTCCCACCTTCCCAGTCCATTTTTCACACATATGATCCAATGAGTCATCTCAAAAGCCCATGGACACCAGAGTTCTCATCTCAGGCTATAATTGTTTGTAGAACTTCCTTTATAGTCTTGGGCTTTTGAACACATGGTTACCGTTTGGTTATGCTGTTAGAGCAGCTGTAGGTGAAGCAAACTTACTGCAGGGAGTGTGCCACTAGAAATGGACTTTAAGAAAATAAGCTTCTTATCATTTTCAGTTTGTGCTTCATGCTTACATTTGAAGATGTCAGCTCTCAGATTCCTGATCTTACTGTGTGCTGTCTTCCTCCCTGCCATGATGGACTTTAACCCATCTGGTACCATAAACCTAAGCAAACTCTTCTATAAGTTTTCTTGGCCATAGTATTTATCACAGCAACAGAAAAGTAACTAATAGGCCCTTGTTTTAAAGACTCCAACCTGCTTTCATGTGCTGGTGAAACTTTATTTTTGGTCAGACATTTTGTTGCAGCTACAAGACAAGTAATTAATACAACTAGTTTGTAATAATGTGAGAGTGTCACTTTGACAATTTTCCCTCAGATGGTTCAATAAAAATCATTCTTAAAATAATCTTTTCCTTTTACTTTGCTATTCTTTAGAGGAGAAACAGGCATAGGTGATTGTTGACTTAAACATCTTATTCTTATCTCTCACATAACCTTACTGGTTCTGTTTGTTCACTATAATGGAACAATAGCACACAGTTATTGAGAACATGAACTCTGCAACTAGAATTCCTGGAAAAATGGAAATGGTTTTAGAATGTCTTTCATTTTTATTTATTTATTTTGTGTGCATCTTGCATGTAAGTTAGTGTCTCTTCTTCCTGTCTTGGTACCTGTCTCTGTCTTCCCCACTGTCTATGTGTGTATGTGTGTGTTTATGTGGGTAGGCTTGTGGCATGCAGAGGTCAGAGGACAAACTGATGGCAGTCAGTGCTCTATTTCTGCCATATGAGTTCTGGGGTTCAAACTCAAGTCCTCTGGCTTGGTGACACACTCCTTTACCATTTAGTCATCTTGTTGATCCTATGGAAAACTTAATGTTTCACTGATATTCTTAGTAAATCCATGATGAGATATAAATTTTTCCAAGTTCTACATTTTAACTTTTCTGGTGTACATACAATGTCCTAATATGAGTCCAGCACTTTCTCTGCTGTCTATTTTCTATGGAGTTGACACTAATAAATGTGTTTAGATCATGCTCCTTCTTTGTAAACTATTTTGTGTTCTAGAATATTAAAAATGACAATTGAACAGGGAAATTAATTATGGCTCCCATGTAAAGAAACTCCCAGCATACTCATCAGGTAGTTTATGGCTACCTGTAGCTCTGGATCTAGTGACCTAATGTTCCTTTCCTGGCCTCTGTGAGCACCTGCATGCACAAGGTGCTCATAAAAGGATGGACACACACGCGCGCGCGCACACACACACACACACACACACACTTTTTGAGACAGGTTTTTTTTGTGTGTGCTGTGAAATAATGCTCTTGTACACTGTAAAGATGCTGTTTGGACAGTAGCCAGGCAGGAAGTATGGGTGGGGCAACAGTATTAGGGAATTCTGGGAAGATGAAAGGCAGAGACACAGTCACCAGCCAGACACAGAAGAAACAAGATGAAAATGCCTTCCTGAGAAAAGGTACCAAGTCACTTGACTAAACATAGATAAGAATTATGAATTAATTTAACTTGTAAGAGCTAGTTAGTAATAAGCCTGAGCAATAGGCCAAACAGTTTATAATTAATATAAGCCTTTGTGTATTTAATTGGGACTGAACAACTCTGGAACCAGGCAGGACAGGAACTTCCACCTACAATGGTGCCTAACATTCAGCAACTACATCAATATAAAACCTGAGAGAACTTGGGAAGGGATTCTAGACACAAAAGAACAGAGTCAAGCAAGGCTTCTTGGTAGCAGCAGTTTCTTGGGTGGTTTCTGCTAGAGTCAAGAAGAGGTACAGTTCTTTAAGAGAGGCTTCCTAACTTAGCTTTAGCAGTAAAAACTGCATGGCTCTTTTAAGAGGCCCTGCTACTAAACACTTAAATGGTGTTATGAGCAGCCAGTGGCATGCTTCTTGGTGGTGGAAGGGACGGAGACACTCCACAAATTGTGGCAATAAGTGTGGCTCCCACTAGTACCTCCGTCATGAAGCTAGAGTCTGAGGAAGCCAAGGAATGGGGTTGAGCCAGTTTCAAAGCTGTCACTTTAATGCTAATCATGTCACTGAGATTAAAGACTCATGTGGTCAGAAATAATAGAGATATACAATAAAGACAGATTCAGATGAAAAAAACCTCTAAACAGTTGACAGTGTATTTAAAAATATATGTAGGCTTTGGAGAGAAAATAAAAGGATACAGAAAGTTCTTAAAAATAAGTAGAATAATAGAAAAAGCATGTAAAGATGGAAAAAAACATAGAGAGTCAGGATACTATATGTTATTGTGTTGTCTTTGAATTATTTGACTGCTGAGGAGGGAGGAAAAGCTGACAGAAGACATTTAATTATAAATGCTGCTTGATTAAACCAACCTATATATTTTAAACATATTTTTACTTTAAAATTTAAGTCAAAAGATTATTGGAGAAGGGGCTGCTTGTTCATCCCAAAAGCCCAGAACTGAAATAATAACACAGAAACTGTATTAGTTAAATCACTGCTTAGCCCATTAGCTCTAGCTTATTATTTGCTAACTCTTACATCTTAATTTAACTCATTTCTATTACTCTGTATATCACCATGAGATCATGGCCTACCAGCAAAGTTTCAGCACGTCTATCTCCAGTGACAGATCCATGGTGTCTTTCTCCCCACCTTCCTTCTCCCAGCATTCAGTTCCATCTTCCCTGTCTACCTAAGTTCTGCCCTATCAACAGGCCACTTCAGTTTCTTTATTCATTAATGGACAATGAATAAAGCTCACAGAGGGGACTCCCACATCAAAAGATATATTACTTTGGGAATGAGGTTCTGCTTTTATTTACACAGGCTGTTGATTCATTATTGGCTTGGAAAAATCAGGTTTGATTGAGGAAGACACCCTGAAAAATCTCTGATAGGAGCAGATGGCCTAGATGATCTAATATCTCTGAGTGCCTCTGTTGCAGTTTCCTCTGAGTTCTGCATTCCAGAACAGCTTTAAGGTGACTGGTTGAGGTGATCCAGCCTCACAGAATAATCCAGCCAGGAGCTGACCATAATTCTAAATTTTCTCAGGGTTTCCCCCAAATTACCAGCAACCCCAATCAGCAAGAAATAGCCTAGAAAAGTATGTCCATATCTCCAAAAATGGATTATGGATGCTTGACTTTGTTTATGTTGTTGGTTACAAGTTGTTATGGATAATGTTTATGAAAAAGCTACATAAAGGAGATTAGATTCAGGTCTCTGTTTTGAAAAGGAGAAAAGTGGATATGCTGGGGATAATTCTCTTGTACACTGTAAAGATTTGTCACTCATATTGGTTTAATATAATGCTGGTTGTTCAGTAGCCAGGCTGTAAATACAGGCAGAACGACCAGACTAAGAGAATTATGTGAAGAGGAAAGGCAGAGACACAATTGCAAGCTGGACACAGATGTAATTACTAAGAAAAGGTATCAAGTCACATGGCTAAACATAGATAAGAATTATAGGTTAATTTAAGTTGCAAGAGCTAGTTAGTAATAAGCCTGAGAAATAGGACAAACAGTTTAG